ACATGCCTTGCAGAAATCGAATACCTTAGTATTGATTATGATCTTTACAGTAGGAAACATTCCTCGTTATCACACAACAAAAAATGGTAATAACGTAACGAACTGCAGGAATTATAATATATTTCTTCTTTAGGTTCGATAAACTAATCCTTATTGTCTACTACTATCGAGTCAACAATCGACTTTTATCGATATCTGCAAGTGCAGCTCTGTCTAAATTGGCCACCTCGTAAACATGCTAAACACATTATTAGCTTTCTTCAATTTTTTCTTGGTGGATTATGTGGCATGTTTCACTGTACCAGCTGCTGGCTGTACTGTGCCTGCGGCTGGTTATTGTCCGCTCAGAGTTCAGGAAAGCCATTCCCAATCCCATGCAAATGTCGGTTGCATTAAGTCCACATTATCTGAGTTTTAAGCCGCTAATTGTTGACGAATGCCGCCCATAAAACCTGAGGCCGGCGACGACAGTTGAGTGAAAATGGTGGACGCTTTTATTGATGGCCAATGATGGTTGAGCTCCGCTCCTGCAGCTCCAGCTCCAGCTCCAGCTCCGGTTGTCGCCATCCTGTTGCTGCACTTGTTGCTCCAATCGGGCCCATTTAATGCCCGGCACGGCTGTGGCTCGTAAAAGTTTTTACGAGTCACCAATTAACCGATGATAATCAAATCACTTGGAAGCGCTGGCTTCAACTCCTCCTCCTCCTCCTCCTCCAGCTGCTGCTCCTCCTGCCGGTCCTTGGCTGGAGACAGCCATTGCTCCAGTCGCCGCATAATTCTTGACCGGCTGTCGCCAGGCCGATTGACGACCGTCCCTCTGTCCAGATGCTACTCGGCTCTGGGGTAATAAATACTTTTACGATTCTATAATTTGATTTGGGCCTTTTTTTTTTTAATTTAATATTTTTTCCTCTGCTAAGCTGGCCTCACTTTCCTGCCTCTTGTTGCTGTTTTTTTTTTTTGGTTTTTTACCCTTGCTTAATATATTTTTCGCTTCGCTTTGCCGCACATTAATTTTTTTATGTGTTCGATCGTAAAAATTCGTTTGATAAATTATTATTTGGAATTCGATGCTGGATCCACCTATTCCGAATCGGCTCTCAGTGTGGAATGTGTGCGCCCGCGAGATCAAAACAAAATCTGCATACGAGACAAATCTAGTTTCCATCTAGAATTCTGGTATTACTGAACCTATTGCTGATGTTTGTTTGCCTCGCCGACTCGTCAAATTCTATCTTCTATCTTTTATATTTGGCTACAAAATTCTAATGAAAAGATGCTCCGATAGTGCTCTATTAGGAGATCTAGGGGAAGAAACAACCACTTATCGCACGAAAGACAATCAGACGAAACGGAAAGAACAATTTGAATATAGATATTACTGCATGCAAAATACACGTATATATACGTAATATTTACAATATGCATACATACAAAATATACAAAATATATATACAAAAATTATTTTGAAATTGGCAGTTGTAAAAAATAAAAAATTCTCTAAGTAGAATCCTCTTTATGCAATATCTGATATTTATATTTAATATAGAAAAAGGAATTTTGAAAACTCCAATGAAATTTATCTAATGAATTTCTTAAATTTCAAAAATTAAATATAATAGTCATCAATTTGTCGATATGCCATATGAAAAAATAAAGCTATATAGAAATGAAAAATTTGAATGCTTTTTCAATAGAGAACTGTAAACTTTTTAAATATGAAAGTATTTTTTACAAATTTTGTTATGTTTACATCGTGGCAAACGTAATTGTAAAAGTCGTCCTATTTAACGAAAAGGCGCTGTACATTATTTTTGCATGTAATTATAAATGTTACATATGTTACATACATCGAAGCATTCATGCATGCATATGTACATATGTGTGTACGTATAATTTAACAGTCAAATCAATGAGAATTTGACAAGCAAATGATATGTTTTATTATTATTAACACTTTATTATACGCGAGGATAACATGAAATTCCCTCGTTTTCGCTTAAGTAGCACAAAATGAATTCAAATCGTAAAAGCGGATGTTCTTGAAATCGACATGGAATAAAAATTGAATGACAGATAAACCTCATGTTAAATAATAGAAAATGTTAAAACGGGGTAAAAGTGAACTTGTATACTACAAATTTACAAATAGAGCAAAGTATGTGTTTTTAAACTTATGTATGTATGTATGTACATGCATAACATTGTTACATAAATAGGTATGTATGTACATAAGTACAATGTTTTCAGCACGGGCATCACGTTGAGTGCGGAAAGCAAGAAGAATAGAGTTGCCAGCCTGCTGCTATTTACATATTGTACATATTTAACTGTTTTACAATGTCATTGTGTGTGCACACATGCAAACATACGCATATACATAGATGCGTAGGTACATGTGTACATGTGACAGAGCACCCGCACGTTGCAAAAAATGCCAGACAGAGAGACAAAATGTCGAAAGCGCGACAGCTGCAGCAGCGGCGCAGACGACAGCAGCAGCAGCACCAAAAACAACAACAGCAACAAATTAGAACGAGCCACCTTCAGAGCAACTAACACACACACACACACACACACGCATGCACACACACACAGTTACACTCATAGACAGCAGCGTGAGTGAGTGAGTGAGCCAGCGTATGCGAGTGAGAAAATTTGTTTTGAACTGTCATAAATCTTAATTGTAGCGGAGTGATGGAATTGGAATGTGCTGAAGCCGCCGACCTACCAAAAAGGGTGACGCGCTGACGAAACGCTGCAGCTAATTTGAGAGAGAGCCAACGAGAGAGCAACAGCCAGAGTGAGACAGGGTGTGCGAGCGCAATCATTTCCCCTGCGCTGGCATCAATGTTCCAATCCCATTTCGTATACACGCCGCAAAAACATAAACAAGATTTATTGCAGTTCCAATTGGTGTGCAGGGGAAACGTGCCCAACGGCCATGCGCACTGGCGTCGCCCTCTCTCACGAACGGCGTGCTCTCGTCGCGCCGGCCGCGCGCCACAATTTCAGTCAACAATCGACCGTTACAGCGAACGATCATGTTCGAAAAGCTCTGTGGCGCGCCAAGAACAACACGCACGTAAAACGTAAAAGGGTAAAGCAAAAAGCGCGTGGACAGATTCGCGCTGTCGCCGTCACCGTCGCCGTCGCAGCCGTTGTAATTAATTAGCACAAACGCCAGCGTCGCGGTCAGCGTGCGCGAGCGAGACAGCAGCACATTTAATCACAGCATTTGTGACAGCCAGCTGCTGGTGGGGGTGGAGAAAAACCCAACCAAAAAAAAAAAGCAGAAAAAGCAAAGCAGCAAAGTAATCAACACGCTGCGCTGTCGACGTCGCCTTTTTGGTGGAGGCGCCAAATACTCGCACAACAACAACAATAACGGACTGCGCATTGCGTTGCGCCGTCGCTTAACGCAATCGAATCAGAAATTGCCGTCGCCAAACGCGCGCTTCGTGTTAACGAACGTCGCCGTCGTCAGCGTCGTGTTTCAAGTCCAACTCTCGTCAAAAAGGCAGCAGCAACAACAACAAGAAGCAGAAGAATAACAACAACAACACGAGCGCCGCCAACGCAGCTTCCAGGCGCCCAGCTCCAGAAAAGCAGACAAAACGAAACGAAACGAAACGTGCGCGTCGCTGCCACCGCGCTTTGAACTTCATTTTTTTGGTATCAATCAGCAGCGAACAGGCAGAGCAGCAGAACGCGAACGCATTGTTGTTGTTTGTGTCTGATTCTTGACTGAATCAGTTTGACAGCCGACGTAGCAGCAGCAGCCGCAGCCGCATTAGCAGCAGAGGCAGCGAAGAAGAAGCGACTGAGAAGAGGCAGCAGCAACAGCAGCAGCAGCGCAGCCAGTGACGACACGGCAACGCCGACACATTCATTCGCTGTTCGACTCTCAAACGAGTAACGACGGAATCCGGATGAACCGCACAAAACACGAAAAGCAAAAAGAAACCAAAACACACGCACACATACACAGCACAACGCACACACACATCGAAAACCAAAAGCGAGCGTATTGTGTGCGACTGCGACGCGTGTTTTGAATACAACAAAAAAACAACAACAATAAATTCAATTATTTTAATCTGAACGCCATTTATAAAAGTGTGATAAAAAATTAAACAAATTAAATCAAATGAAATGCATCATTTAAACCAAATTAATTTGATTTCAAATTAGTTGCAACAACAATAACCAAAACAAGAAAAACACATGCATCATATCTAGTCAAAATTCACAACAACAAAAGAATTAACAATGAAATGCGCGTCAAATGTTTAATTAAGACTGATTACAACAACAACAACAACAACAAGTAAAACAAATACTTCAACTACAACAACAAATGGTTCAACAAAAGTATACGTAAAACAACAACAAACAACAAATAAAATATATTTATTAAAATAAACACTACACAAAAAAAAAAAAAAACAAAAAACATAAATACAAATTAATATTTATATTTAACAATATTTTGCTCACCAAAAACTTAAAGAAAATATTTAAATTAAAAAAAAAAAGTTAAAACAAAAAACAAATCAACAAATTCCAAACGAAGTATACGATTCAAATGCAATTATTAAATTAAATAACAAAAACAAAAACACAAAATATTTAACATAGATTTTCTGTCTGCCATATGAAAATACAACAACAAAATAAAAATTAATTAAATATACATATATTTAAAGATATAAATTACACTATTTAACACACAAGTTATACGTAGCTCAACGCTAAAAAGTACCAAGTGCAAAAATACAAACAAATATTAATTAGTTAATTAACTAATATTGCAAATGCATATTGTGTCAAATTAAATTTAAGCTATATTTAAAAAGTGTTGGCTAAAGCAAACGCAATTTGTTTGCGGCTACCGAAGCCCCCCGCAAAACCCGCCCCGCAGTTTATCTATTGAACAAAAAAAAAAAAACCAAATAGAAAAAGAAGAAGAAAAAACAATCCGTCAAAATTCAGCAAAATCTGAAAATGTTGCACGAGGCTCTGATGCTCGAGATCTACAGACAGGCGCTCAATGCCGGGTAAGTTAATATTATTAATAAATAATAAAGTTTCGACATTTTTTTTGTTTTGGTCACACTTAAACTTTGTAAAGGAATTGTTCTGGCCACACTTAAGCATTGTAAAGCAACTAAGCATTAAGATTCTTGAAGAATTCATTTGTTTGGACAAATGTGCTTTTTATTTATTTATAATTCCAATTGACATTTATAATTATTTTTAAGGAAATATTTTGCATAAATAACAAACTTGGACTCTTGATTAGATGAAAGTTGATAGAAATACATAGATAGATGAACATTGAATGAAACATGAACTATATCTTATATCTATATCTAACATTTTCAATGTGGTTTCTATATCATATGATACAGAAGAACTTTATAGTAAATTTTGTTATCTATTGTAGAGTTAAATGTATTTGGCTGCAGTTAAATACGTGAATTAACAAATATGCAAGAGTCTGTTAGTTATCAATTTGTTGTCTTGTCAAACAAGCGAAATGCAAATAAATACTTTGCACATTCAAGTACATTTAAATCATAAATAATTCGGTTTTAAATTCGTACTTCCCATCTATAATCGCAGATACGTGCTCTTTATAAGTATTTTTCCGTGTATTTATTGCTAGTTATCTTGATTTGCGGCAATTGACATTGTTGGTTATGGTTAGTTTATTAGCCATTAGTATTTAATTTGGTAAACATATTAGTTTAAGTTAAGCGTTGAAAACAATAAATTCATATATAAAAGAATAAAGCGATGAAAACAATATATCATTGTAATAAACAATATAGATGAAAAAGACATTTGGAGTAAAGTCTGTGTCATTGTTACTTTGGGTCCTAGAGATAGATTCTTTATTATTTGATTTACAAAAAGAAGTATTAGTTTACTTCAAATAATAAAAGTTACTTTTTAATATAATTTCTATAAAGATGACATATTTTACTTCTAGGGACTTCTATAATATGAAACAAATACAAATTTCTTTAAAATATAATTTCTTTAAAGATTTTCTTTTGTTGAAATTTGTGCTCGATTTAACTGCGTTCAATTGCCAAAAATGTCGTTACTTGTTTTTATCGTTGCATCTATTTAAAAAGCCCAATATTTTTAACATTTAATTATTTTGTTAAAATTCAGAAATTGAAATTTTGTTTTATATGATACAAATGTAAATTGAATTTTTGTTGCATTGCATTTAAATTGTTTGCCTAATTATGATCTTGATCTTGTATTAGATTGAAATGTGAAACTGTTTACTGCCAAAATATATATATTTTGATCGATTTCGAACTGGTTTCGACAGCGATACGCATTCTATATATATATATATGAATCAATATATATATATTTGTGCACTCATTAACTATTACTCAAACTGGTTAATAAGATCGCAATCACATGACAGTCGACAGTCTTATCGCTTGGCTGATCGAATCGCCGCATGATCCATGAAATGATTACTTTAGAATTCGATTTGAAAATAATTCTGACGAATATGCGAATCATTTGATGGTCAACATCGACGTCGCAGTCGGCGTCGTCGCACACCTGTCGTTATAAATTAAAAGCCCGCACCAATATTAAGGCCATTTATCAAGCAACACCCACCCAATCCACACGCTGACTAAAGCGAAGAGTATAATAATAATAATAATAATAATAATAATAAGAATAAGTATAAAGGAGAATTGATTTATAATAAGAAAAGAATAAAGCGCGAATACCAGGCGATAACTAGCGGTAAATACATTTAGTTCAACTAACTAAACACGATTGTTTTAGGCCAATTGCTCATAATTATCGCTGCCTAAATGTTTGCCGTAGGCTTTGTGATTAAACTCGTTTCAGATACATTTGAATAAATCGTAACGCGAAACGAGTTTTCAGCTAGGGGTGGGGCGGGGTGCCTCTCTTTTTCTTTTATTGTTGTTGCTTTTCTTTTTTTGATTTTTGGAAATGGGAAACTGCAGCCCGATTTGTTGGCTCGTTTTCATGAAGGCATTTTCCAAGGCGCTGACGTATGGAAATGAATAAATCATGAATGCTATTCGTTCAGGCAAATAGTCCAAAATCAAAATTTCATATGCTCTACATGTGGGTGTATCTGTATCTGTGTCTGTGCCTGTATCTGTGAGTGTAGCCTTAGCTGCGTGTGTGTGCGCGCCTATTACTGAAAGATTTATGCGCACAATTTGCAGCTAGCTTGGGGTTGCGGGGGTGCGGGGTTGCGGGGAGTGGGGTGTGCGCTATTTAGTAACATTTAGTTTTGATGGCGCGTATTAGTCATGCGTTGCAAAAGTATCTGGCAAGTACAAAAGTATCTACAAGTTAGCTGCTAGTCAGCTATGGCCATATAATTGCCCAGATCAACTCGTCAATCTGTCGACTCGATGTGTATGTGTGTGTGTGTGCGTGTGTGATTATTAATGAGACAATTCCCGCTTGTAATTAACTGCATTTTAGCCGCTGCGTATAAATCATTTTGATTTAAGCTTCATCAAATAACAAGATTGCATATTATGATAGCTGCTGCAACGGGGAAAACTAGTCGCTGCCGCTGCCGCTGTTGTTGTTGTTGTTATTTTAGTTGAGGTATTTCCCCATATCTTTTTTTTCGAGTCTTAATCACAGCCTGCAATCTGTAAATCCAATTAGCAGTTAGCTAAAGCGCAGGTATGTGTATTAGGTATCTGAGAGAAAGGAGTTCAATCTTATGGCACAGCACGTACATTGCACAATTTCACATTATGTGAAAGAATGTCAATGAATCACCATTTCATTAAAAACGCTGCCCATTTAAAAGACAACATAATTATAATGATATATAAATGCGATATATCTGTCGGCCTTTTGGCGTTTGACATTGTCGAAAGCCCATCAATATTGCTGCACTTAGAAGTTGGCACAGCTTTGGGATCTATTGTCTTTTACCACAATAGATAGATTTGATAAAATATTTATTGTCTTGGACAACTTAAGGCTGGCATAACAAATGCTGAGCGATCGGTGTGCTAGGCTAGCTTTAAAACAATAAGAAGCAAAGAAAATATACATATAGAAATTAGGAGTTAAAATTAACTTACTCTAAAAGGTATTAAAATAAATAATATGAATTATTTAAATATTCAAATATATATACAAATTAGGAAGACTTAAAATTAATTTACACTAAAAGAGAATTAAAATAATTAATTTAAATACATTTTTATTATTATTTAATAGTAGTTTAATTAATTTTTTATTATTATTTTTATAAATTTTGTTCATTTTATTAATTAATTTGTATTCTTATATATTATTAGTTTTGTTATTATTTCTTTTCTTTTTATTTAATATTATTTATCATATATATTTTTTTTTATAGATTTTTTACAATATATATTATATTTGTATATACCTTTATTAATGTTAATATTCGTAATGCTTGTTTTTTTTTTGTTTAAAGCAATTTTAACCCTTTCCAATTATTATTAATCTAATTTATCGTGCTTCGGAAATGTCTTCTTATGCTATCTCAGTTAACAGAGCTTCTAATAATATTTGCCAAGCTTTGCCTAAGCAACTATAATTAGTTTAATTTAATGGCTATTTAAATCGTGTTTACTTTAGCTTTCGGTTTGGCGCGTGCTGCCAACTTGTTTAGCTACAGGTTAGCCAAAAAAAAAAAAACGACTCCGTATCGCACAGCCTTAGTTGAGAGAACAATTTGTTAGTTAAACTAAATCGATTTGTAGTCGCTTAACAAAAACTTATGCATTTCAAATGCGAAGCAACAAAAGTAAACAAAGCTGCCAACTTGCAGCAAGAGAGTGTGACCAGCGTGATTTATAAGTGATTGGCGTTGCCAGACTGCTGCAGCAATTAAGGAATGTGACTCACCTATTGTCTTCTTGCATTATTAAAAGCCAATCGATAATTCTAACGAATCCGCTGCGTAACGGGCCATAATTCATTGCCATTTCCGGCAGTTCATCAACTCAGCGACTCATCAACAATGCCCAGCTCTGGGCAGCTGAGCCACGCCCACGCAAGAGAAATGTTAATAAAAACAAGCTAAATATTTTACAACTGTTTTGTTTTTGCAATTTATGTAAATGGGCACAGCGCAAATAAATTGCTTTTGGCTGAAAATGAGTGTAAACTAGCTCAAAATTGAGGAAATCAAAACTACGAAAATTATAAATGAAAAAGCAGAAAAAAAATGTTATAAATGTATATAAAATATTTAAGCATGTGCCTTGCAGATTTATAGATGCAGACTAATAAAAATTTGTTAGTTATTTATGCACACTCAGAAGGGGGCTGGGGAGGGGAAGGGTAGGGAACGGTGTTTAATTTATGCAAAATATGTGGAATGGCTTTTGTGCGTCGCTTTGTCGTCAATTTTATGAGCCGCCTCCTGCGCAGCGTTGCCAGCTATTAAAAAAACAAAAAAATAACAGATCTTCGATGACGAGAGATCTGTTGATAATCACGACGATGATGAGCTTCACTCATAATTCACGCTTTGCTGTCTCGAATTAAATGGCATTGTTCCAAATAAATATAACCGATTTTGACGATTTTTACGACCAAAACTTGTCAGCCAAGCGAACTACTCTGTAGAGAGAGAGAGAGAAATAGGGGGGGGGGGGGGGTAAGGGGGTGCGGCATTTGAAACAGCTGGCCACAGTTTCGTTTTGGTTTATGGGCCGCCGCAGTTGAATTTGAATAACAAATGAAATGTTGACATATGTTTCATATTGTTGCCATTGTTGTGCCACTTGATTTTTATTGTTGCGCCTGCCCCCTGTCCTGATTTGCCAGAAATATATAAAAACATGCAGATATATATATTTATATAATGGGCATATAGATTTGGAGCAATAGAGATCACTCGACTGGCTCGAAAGTCGATGCTCATATTGAAAGCTTTCACTAATGATCTATGTTTCATTTGCTTTGTAGTGAAAGAAAGAGAGGCATCGTTTGTCTGACAACATTACGGCCCATTCAAATTCGAAAGCATATTTCTCGTTGATTACTGTTATCTCTTTCTATTGATATTATGTAACATTTGGGGAGGGAAAGTTCTTTCTATTCTGCGACCAAACATTTAAGTGCTTCCATATTGCGGCAGTCCCCCCATATAAGCGACAAATTTGATTAGTGACTAACATTATGATCACATGATCACTAATCAGTGATCACTGATCGCCGATAACGTTGCCTAATTTTAGTATTTTGTATAATTAGCACAATTTATTGCACAAAATAATTGTGAATGTGATTAATTGTTTGTTTATTACGAGCGATAAAGCAGGCAGGAAGATTGATTTAATCGTAAAGACGAAAAACATTATTACCATCACGATTAAAATTGATCAAAACAGCAACAGGTGCCTGCATAATTATAAATAGGTTAATCATGAAACTAAAATTAGAATTAAATGTACTAAGAAAATATGCCCAACTCGTGTGCCTGTTGCACATATTTTTCACGGGCTTTGGTTAATGCCATTGAGTAATACTTTATTACTCAATGGGTTAATGCTGCAGCAAAGCGAGCTTTTAATGAATTATTATGTTCAAATTTAGCTTTTCTCAGGACCTCAATTAAACTATTTGCAATTCTCTTTATCCCAATTTGAGTACTGCAATTAATTTGATAATAAGAAGTCATAAAATGCTAAAATTGTCTTAATATAAGAATTCGTGTTTTCGCTACTTTAAACTGAATCTAAAACATATTTAACAACATTTTAAAAATCCAAAAAACTGCCCATATAAATATATAAAACAAGCGGGTATTACCCGGCCTTGCTCGTGATACATTGTGTGCTAAACATTTTAGATATTACTTTTCTTTCAATAGTTGAGGCAAACGCTGTCTTGGTATATTCTATTTATCATATTATATATTTTATATACGACACCGAAAAGAGATCTTCTTATGAGTAGAATTCTTTCGGCATTCAGGTATAGGCATCAACTTCGAAGTAACTGATTCATCTACTATAGAGTTTTCGCTTTTAAAACTCGATTATATATACTTAGATCTATTAAATATATATGTAATTATGGGAGTCAAGATTTAATTCGCTGCCTTCACCCTCTTGTCCTTGCAGCGCCCTGCCCACAGCACGTCCACGTTCCACGGAATCGGCGAATTCCAGCGAGCGCTGCCCCTCGCACGATTCCAATTCCTCGGACAATGGTGGCCAGCGGGACGCGGCGCATTTGTCGGGTGGCGTGATGCCCGTTGTGCCCACCACAATGCATTCAACATTCCCAGCGGTGCCGCAAACGCTGCCCGCCCAGCCGTCCTCCATGGAGGCCTACCTGCACATGGTGGCCGCCGCCGCACAGCAGTACGGCTTCCCGCTGGCGGCAGCTGCTGCTGCGGGGCCACGGCTGCCGCTGCCGCTGCCAAGCGAGGCGGCTGCGCCGTTTAAGCTGCCGCCACAGGCCTCGCCCACCGCCTCCAGCAGCAACTCGGAGGCGCTGGACTTTCGCACCAATCTGTATGCGCGTGCCGAGTCTGCGGAGCCGGTGGCCTCCGAGGAGGAGGAGGAGTTCGACGATGGCGGCAACAATCCGCTTGATCTCTCGGTGGGCACACGGAAGCGCACCCACGACAAGGAGAGCCCCATTGGCCAGATTCAGGTGAAGAAAATGTTCAAGTCCGACAGTCCGCCGGCGAATTCCTCACCGGCTGCAGCCACAGCGCCCCTCCTGCCCGGTGTCAATCCCTATTTGGCTGCAGTGGCGGCTGCCAACATATTTCGTGCGGGCCAGTTTCCCGACTGGAATGGCAAGAATGATCTGGTAGTGGATCCGCTCGAGAAGATGTCGGATATTGTCAAGGGTGGCGGCGGCGGCGGCGGCACTTCGTCGCTGCACAAGGAAAAGCCACAGAACAAGGCGACAACACCCAACGCAGCCGCTGCACCACCGCCCAAAAGTCCCGCCAATCAAACGGGCGCGGGCAACTCCAGCGGCAACTCCGCGGCAAATAATGCGTCGGTGGAGGGCGGCGCCGCCGGCGGCGGGGTGACAAAGGCGCGGCACAACATCTGGCAATCGCACTGGCAGAACAAGGGTGTGGCCAGCTCGGTGTTCAGATGCGTGTGGTGCAAGCAGAGCTTCCCCACGCTCGAGGCGCTCACCACGCACATGAAGGACAGCAAGCACTGCGGTGTCAACGTGCCGCCCTTTGGCAATCTGCCCAGCAATCAGCCGCACCACCACTCGCATTCCAATTCGGGTGCATCGCCGGCCGGCGGCGGCAGCCACCACCAGCATCAGCACCACCAACAGCAGCAGCAGCAGCACCAGCACCACCAGCAGCAACAGCGCAAACAGTCTGGCAACGCTGGCAATCAGGCGCCCTCGGCGAACGTGAAGAACGCTTTCCAGTATCGCGGCGATCCGCCCACTCCGCTGCCCCGCAAGCTTGTGCGCGGCCAGAACGTGTGGCTGGGCAAGGGCGTGGAGCAGGCCATGCAGATACTCAAGTGCATGCGCTGCGGCGAGAGCTTCCGGTCGCTGGGCGAGATGACCAAGCACATGCAGGAGACGCAGCACTATACGAACATCCTGTCACAGGAGCAGAGCATCTCCATCAAGTCGGGCAATGCGAACGCGGATCACAGCAAGGATGGTGGCCAGAACAGCCTCAGCTCCGAGGAGTCGCGCACGCTCTCCGCCGTGCTCACGTGCAAGGTGTGCGACAAGGCCTTCAGCTCCTTGGGGGATCTCAGTAATCATATGGCCAAAAACAATCACTACGCGGAGCCGCTGCTGCAGTCCGCCGGCGCACGCAAACGGCCGGCGCCTAAGAAGCGCGAGAAGTCGCTGCCCGTGCGCAAGCTGCTCGAGCTGAAGGCCAATCCCGGCGAGGAGCAGCCGCCGCTAGAGAAGACCGGCGCCAGCAAGCCAGAGAAATCGGAGGCCGCCCTCTTCGCCGAACGCATGCGCCAGTATATAACAGGCGTCAAGTCGCCGGAGGAAATAGCCAAAGCGGCCCAGCTGCTGGCCAAGAACAAGTCGCCCGAGCTGGAGCAGAAGAACGGCGCCAGCGGCACGGGCAAAGCAGCCGCGGCCGGCTCCTCCTCGGTGCTGAGCGCCATCGAGCAGATGTTTACCACCAGCTTCGACACGCCGCCGCGACACGCCAGCCTGCCGGCTAGCAGCCCCTCGAACTCGTCCACAAAGAACACCTCGCCGGTGGCCAGCAGCATACTAAAGCGTCTGGGCATCGATGAGACCGTCGACTACAACAAGCCGTTGATCGACACCAGCGATCCCTACTATCAGCATTATCGCTACACGAGCAGCGAGCGCAGCGGCAGCGAGTGCAGCGCCGAGGCGAGGCCACGCCTCGAGGCGCCCACGCCTGAGAAGCAGCTGCAGCAGCAGCAGCCGCCGGCGGCGGCGTCTGTGCAGGAGTTGCCCATTAAACAGGAGCCGGAGTCTAGCCTCAAAATGGAGATCAAGTCTGAGCTGGGCGAGGAGCCGCAGGATTTGGCTGCTGCTTCGCCCAAAACGGAGGTGGAGACGCCGCTGCTAAATGGCAGCTACAACAACAACAACAGCAGCAGCAACAACAACAATAACACAAATAACAATGGCAGCTCACCTAAATCTTCATCAGCCGCTGCCAGTCCGCAGGCGTCGCGCCTGCCGCTGCCGCCGCGCAGCCCAGCGGACAGCCAGCGCTCGGCCACGCCCAAATCGCCAGCATCCAGCCACAAATCGTACGACGGTAGCGATGGCAACAACAAGAAATATCCAAGTGATTCCCTCAACGCGCTCAGCTCCATGTTCGACTCTCTGGGCAGCAGCGGCGCCGGCAGCAGCAGCGGAGCTGCAAATACGCGCGCCAAACTGGCAGCCGCTGCTTCGGCGGCGGCAGCGGCAGCGGGAGCTGGCGAGTCCGCGGCGCCGGAGAATCTGAGCGCCAGCAATTCGCTGGCTGCACTGCGTCAGTTCTGCGTGAAGAAAGAGAAGACCGCCTAAAAAGTGGGCACGCCAAGAATTGCCACCGAATATTTTTCGTTGTTTCGAACAAAAGATTTTTATCAACCTTTTTGTTTGCCACGCTTGGCGCGCGCACGCGCTACTCCCCGCTCGCCGTGGGGCGTGGCGTGGCGGGGGGCAAAGTCAAGCGACTCTTCATTCAGTACGAACCAGACCATATATAATATATATTCTTATATATGATGTCAGATCGATCGAAAGGATATTTCGACAAAACGCAGCGCGTCGCGGCAGTTGGGCAGCCGTTTCTGTCTGCCGGGAAACACAAATTTCGCCGCCCACTGGCACGCGCCACGCCCACAGGACAGCCATGCAACTGGGCCGACTTTTTCAAGGTAATTATTCAGATCGTAAATGCCAAAAGCTCCTTATAACACCAACTGTTGCCGCCTTTTCTTAAATTCTAACAATTCCTATTTATTTTCTACATTTTCAGGATCGTTTCCTCTGCGCCTCGTGACATCCTTGAAAGACTTTGGCATCTGTCAGCTGAACCGGGCGTTGTTTCTCTTTAACCTTGGGCTCATTGCCCAGAAATCAATTGAAATTTAGAAAAGAAAAAAAAAAATACCAAAAAAAAAAAAAGAAAAAGAAAACAATAAGAAAAAGGCCCTTCTCAGGGCTGCCAAACGCCTGGGCAAAGAGAATGAAATTGGAAAAATGAATCATTGTGATCAAAATAAACCGACTTTTATTGAATTTATAAATCAGATATTGGTCTTTTAACTTTGGGAGTGGCAATTACTGACTCATCAAATACGAAACTTACTGAAAAGCTCAATAAGAAATTCCTCAGTGAGTCTCTTTGACTGACAAAAATTTCTATACAGCAATGAATTCAACCCCTAACATCAGACTGCAACGGGGGTTGCAATTGGTACATGAAAAAAATTGTAAATAGACAAGAAAATACGATGGTAGCACTCAGGATCTATCGCAACTGAAGCACGTAGATCTTAAACTCTACTTAGGAAAATACAAAAATAAAAGCTGGGACGTTACATTACAGGCTCGCTTAGACAAAGCTTCTTATCGAGGAATGCACTGTGTAAAGTGTCAAAAAACTGGTCGTTTCTTTCAAGACCTTACCCAGCTGCTAATATAAAATTAAAAGGAAAAATTATCAGTTGAAGGCACCCCTTTCACAGAATTTCAGCGTAGTATAAAACCTGAAATAACATTAACAGAAAATAAAACCTGATGAGAAGGTAACCATAATAACTATAGATATAGATATATATGACAGAAGCATCAGTTCGCTTCTCGCCAGCTAATAAGAAGGAAAGAAGAAGCTTCATACTGATTCATCTCGGATATTATTCACAGATTCATAATAATGCATGAAACTTCAGAAGTGAATCGCATAAAAACAAGGAGCTAGCTAGTTGCGCCTTTTATTTGCGGTGCCTCCAATGGCCTTCTTCTCCTTTTCGGGTGGTCGCTTTCCGGTTAGCAGCGAGGTGAGCACATCGCTGAGATCCGGCATGCCGTTGGGTATCTTGGGGAATTGTATACTCTCGATTTCGCGCTTGGTTTCCGGATCGTTGATGAGTCGCGGCAGCAGCAGCATCAGCATGAGCGGCACCACCATGAGCAGCACCATGGGATTCAGCACGTAGTCCATGATGTTCCACTGCTCGCGGGTGCGGAAGTAACGGCGACGCATGACGGGCTTCAGGACCAGCGGATAGGGCAACCTCACCACCTGCGATGGCTTGATGTGGCTCACCTTGCGCGCCCGGAACTTGCCATTGTGGGCAATGTCCACGCGCACAGGCTGAAAGAAAATATCCGCATGATGCGCGTACACTATGTAACTGCCGGACGGGACACCGCTTATGGTAAAGCTGCCATCCAGCCGCACGAATCCCTGGTACTCGCCTCCATTGATCGACAGCGTTATGTCCGCCGGCCACTGGGCACTGATGCGGATCAGCGGATCGGGCGGCAGAATGAGGCCCTCAATCGTGTAGAGCGTGGTGCTGGCGGCATTCTTTTTGGCGCCCAGCCCCTTGGAAAGCTCCACAGACTGCGAATAAGTTTGGAGCGCACAGAGCATTAAAATAATTAAGAAATTTTTAAACATTTTCGACTCGATTTCTAAAACGTGATGTGTGTGTCAGGAAAGATTCTCTGACTCGAAGGCGTTTTTTTTTTTTTGACAATTATTGAGGCGGTTATAGAAAAGCATTATTTGATTTCTGAAGAAACGGATATGATTTTCCTAAGTTGAAATATGAACAATTACCGGTCACTTTAATTTAAGCTTTAAAAGTTTCATGAACATTTTTTCTGCTCATCTTTGAAATACTCTTATAAATTCCCCCTAATGTTATTTGATATCCAATATATTCCTTCAGTTATATTCTTTTAAGTCTATTCTTCCACTATATTCTTTCAATACAATCAAATGAAGTTCATAAGCTCGTGCCACATTGATAAACTCCTTCCAATGCGTTTATTATGATTCAAATATAAATAAAGTGTCATCAAAGCATTTGCATAGCAAAGTTCTCATAGACATATCACTACATGTCTTCCATGATCACATTATTTGCATTTATGGGCTGCAAATGTTCTTTACCAAGCGGCTAACTTTAAGACTAGACGCATTTGGATTGTTGCCTCTCGTTGTGAACACTCTGCCTGATTTGTTGCTCTCCGCTTGATGTGAATGAGTCATTTGTGTGGCGCCACGCCCACATTCAATTAGGGCGATCCCCTGCCATTGCATACAGCCTGTTGCTGGTCGGTCGTGACCAATGTGACTTTTGTTTGCCGATCGTCAGCACATGTGAATCTGCTGAACCTTTCAGTTCGGCTGGCACTCGAGTGGCAGCTAAAGTAGCTGCCACAAATTTGCACTCGGCGGAACGTTCTTTGCTGCATGCGACTCGCTGTCGCTTCTGTGCCGCGCAACCACAAATCCAACCAAAATTGCCTCAACGCGCTCGACACGATTATGCGATAATTTCGATTTGCCAACTTGCAACTTACAGCTTGCAACATGTGCAATCATTTTTTGTAGTATCGAGGCAGCGAGTGCTTTGATTTTGTGACGCAGCTTGTAACGCAAAGTGGCAACTGACTATATATGCAATTTTCTACATATACTCATATATATAATACTCCTTGTGAGCTTTGTGAGGCAAATATCCTTCATTTATATCGCTTGCGTTAAAATCTATAAGTCGACCGCAAATTTAGCTTTTGTGTATAATAAGCTTATATCATTAAAGGAGGTTATTATTACTTTGACACTTTATAATGTTTGTCACACATATAAATATGTACAAATCAATCTCTTAGTTCTTAAACTATATGTATTACATGTGGTATAGCTCCGTCATATGTGGGAATATGCCGAATCGGAACACCATAGTACATAGTTGTAATAGACTCTTAGTGTCGAATAGGAAAACTATTTTGGTTCATACAAATATTTTCATAAATATAAAATCACAAATAAAATTTCGCCCTCGTCTGTCAAACATTGAGACTGCTATTTTAGCAAAAATCTAAATGTTGTTTGGCAAACTTTTTAAGCCTATTACTCTTACCTATATACTAAGCATTTTTGCACTTTAATCGTGAATACATAATTGGAATGCAAATTAAACTTAAAATTTTTAAGTTTATAACATTAAACTAAATATAAATGCACGAAATACTGTGATATTATGAGTCCGCCATACTGTCGTATATGTGTCAAATGTTTGCAAGGGTATTTAACTTTCGATCCAACCACTCTTCTCTCACTTCTTTCACAGTTCGTATATTTATGTTTGTTATTTTTGTTTTTCTGCAACTAGCGCTGAGATTTCAACAAGTGCTCTTCAGTATTTGCGCCAGCGCAGACGATTTTCCAATAATTTTGCGCTGATTATTTGGCTGCCGATCCGAAGCGAGCCACTGCAATGGCAGCCAGTGCATCCTCAGCTGCAGCTCCATCATCACGAGCATCATCATCATCATCACGATGATCGTCATCGTGGTGTCGTCATTATGGCAATTTCGTGGACGTCGTTTGATTTAGCGCCATTTGAAGCCCAGCTACAGTGGTTACTTGTAGTGGTGCCCACTGTGGCTGCTGTTGTTGTTGTTGCTGTTGTTGCTTCTAGTTGTTTGTATTTAAATTTTGTTGCTGTTGTTGCTGCGGGGCTGCTCCTCATGGGCTGCTGCCATTAAACTGAGTTGTTGGCTGCGCACAATTGACAGCCGAGGCGCATGAAAATTTAAATTATGGCTCCTCCATGGACCCCAGCCATTTGGTATATGTGCTACCTATTTGCTGAATGGAACCAAACTGCAACTGCAACTGCAATTGAATGTGCGCTGGCATGCCCGCACTTTATTCAGTTACAGATTAAGTTGCTGCGATTTCAGCGCAAGTCTTTGCATCTTGATGGCTTGAATGTTGGCGACGTGATTTGCCATTTATCCAAAAGATGCACAAAGTTTGCCAATTCGCTTAGAAGATATATTTACTTATTTACTATGCTCAGCTATGAACAGTTAACAGAGACATCAGATTTGATATGTATTACGGGGTGTGACCAGATCAATGTCTAGAGCTCACTTTTATAATAATTGGAAATTATTATTTATAAGCTTCAAGCTTTTGGCTCCTAACATATCAGCAATTTCTGTTATATTTTTATTGAAAAATTAAACTAATTATATTATTAATAATATAATAATTAATTAACCAAAAAATTTACTATTAACTGGAATTATTTAGATTGGGCTGCAATTTCTTTAAATTCCAACTAATTTATTCGTAAAATTTCAAAAATAATTTTGACATCTATTGCAAAACAAATGTAAATAGAAATTGTAATTTATAAAACTCAAGCTTAATCGAAGAAAATGCAGTTTTGGATTTGAAAAATACCAAGCAGCTGAAGAATAGATTTGGAAAAGAACTTTAGGCATTTCCGAGATTCGCTCTTAAATCCAAAAACAAGCCACATGCAAATTAAGAGCGTGTTTTTTGTCTTTGCTTGAGATTTGTTCAAGGGATTCCATCTTCTATGAAATGAGTTTTCAAGGGAATACCGAAATGTGTTAAGATATGCAGGAGCCGTCAGCAGGATGCAAGAAATGAATCTGATGTCGATGCTGATGCTGAGGCTAAGCTGAAATGGATTTGGCCACTCGTTTGGACCAATAATTTCAAGAATTGACACAAACTTAATAAATCACTCAGGGGGCACCAAAAATGTTGCGAGGGACAAGGACAAGAGCCTGGCGAACGACGAGTCGTGCAATACTTGTTGGCTGTCAGGATCGGTAACGTTTTTCGGTAAGTTACCCGAAACACAATCCACACAGAGCCAAGCAGCCACACGGGCTAAATGACCCATTGTTTTTGGTATTTGGTTCCTAAACAATCGGATTGGCATTGAGGCTGTTCGCTGAAACAAAGGACCTGGGCCAAGATCAGCGCCTACAAGTCAGGAGACAATCGATCGTTGCCGCGACATGGACGAGGCTGCAGATCTGTCGCTTCGACAAATATCGCGCATGAATATTTAAAAGTTTTTCGCCAACAAAAAAAAAGGAGAAAAGAAAAGCAAACACAAAAGGTTTCAGTTTTGAGTTGAATATTTATGGCTGTCAGTTTGGAACTTTCATTGGAATTGCCATGCAAATCATTTTACGAATAAGTTATGATCCCGCTGAACACATTCATTAAAAAGCCGATGTCTCGTACATTGAAATCCAATTTGAAATTGTGTAAGAAACAAAACTGATTGATAAGCAACCTGGTTATAAATCCGAGTGCTTATCTTTAACAGTGCTATTAAACAATTTACTTGCAATCGTTCAAGTCGTTAACATATGGTATTCGTATATGGTCTACTCTGTATATATATGTATGTATATATATATATATATATATATATATATATATATATATGATAGCGATAAGGATTAAAGTCTGCGCTGAGTCATGTGTAACAAGTACTCGGTTAGTGCCAATCATTCAACTCGGATTTACGATCATTCTAACGAAATAATACGGCCCATAGCTGTTTAGCTTATAAATCCATCACGGGGCTATCAATACATTTTGATTGATTTATAAGGTTTAAATCGTTGCTGATCATATTTCTTAGTGGTTCATTGCAGCAGATTAGATTAAAATTGTTTATGGAATCGCATTATTGTTACTACGCTTAACTGATAATAAGAAAATATATTATAAGTAATATTGGAACAGGTTAGTTCTTTCACGTGAGAGGCTTGTTATGTTTATCGAGTAAAATACATTCTTTGTTTAAGTTGAAGACAGAAGAAAGGTTTTTTAAAACTGAGTTAAATAACATATTTATAAATTCTTAGACTAGGAGAACTTTTAGTTTGCAAAATACTAAAGCGTTTGTCTTCCAAAAGGTTGAAAGAATATTATTTGCAAAAAATAAGTTGTTTTATTTATTTAAATGACAAATTATAATATAAATACGAAATAAATATAAATTGTTTTTAAATCAATTTTAATGACTATAAAGAATCGCAACGTACTTAGAAAATTGTGAGTATTCATTCCATGTGCGTTGTGAAAGGAGTTTAAAAAAAAAACGTAAGCCGCCTGATCTGGAGTTCTTTTCATGCCTACAAGGTGGGCCCTGTCCGCTCCTGAATGCACTTTAACCAAATTCTCCATGTCGCAACATATTCTAATAAGCGCAAAAATATCTTCTAATTAAAAGAAATTGCTGAACATGCCTCGCGGATAGCTCAGCAATTTAGCAGCTCTGTTGTTGCTTTTGTTTTTAGTTTTTTTTTGTTTCTTGTGTGGTGTGCATCCAATGAATCAGCCAGACTCTAGATATGGCTGCAGCGTTGACGACCACGACGACGGGTACATTGAGGACGATGATGAGGAGGAGGCAGCTACAAGATGGAGTGAAGCGGATGGCTGTGGATGGGCGAACGAGGCTGAGAGGCTAGGAGGCTGGGATGTGTGTGAGTGCGCGCGCATTTAAAACAAGTTCAAGATGCAAACAATGGATCATTATCCAGATACAGAAAGCAGAAGAAGAGCGAAACAGATACAATCGAGCGCAATCGCCAGCCAGCCAGCCAAAGTCTGAGCCAGAGCCAGATCCAGAGCCAGAGCCATAGCATTCCCA